GAGAGGCTGAAGGCCCGACAGCTGATGGTGGGGTGGGCCGGGCTGGGCCGGAGCCTGCAGAGCAGAGGGAGCGGACGGGTCGATATGGGGTTAGCAGGTCACGCAAGTGGGAAGGAGCAAAGCCGTGAAGGGCTTTGAAGCCGAGGACGAGGATTTTGAACTTTAGCCTCTGGGGGATGAGACAGAGGGAGCCCTGGTCTCAGATGGACAAATTGGTAATTTGTCACGTTGACCAAGGCGCTTTCTGTGCCGTGGGCAGCAAGGAAACCCGACTGAAGGGGTTTGTAGAGGGGTAGAAAGCAGCGAAGCTGGGAAGCAATGACTCATTCCAGGACCTTGGAAAGGAAGGTTGGAGATGGGGTAAATAATTTGAGAGCAGGGATGTGCCCAGGGAAAGTGTTTTGGGGATGGGGGTGATGACGGCCATTTTTAAGGGGGTGGGAATGGTGCCAGTGGACAAGGAGAGGTTGATGATATCTATGAGTAGCGGAGCAAGGAGGTGGAGCTGGGAGGTAAGGAGAGGGGTAGGGATGGAGTCGAGGGAGCAGGCAGTGGGTTTCATATGGGTCACAATGGTGAGAGAGGAAAGGGAAACACGTTTGAAGGTGTGGACAGAGGGATGGGTCGTGGACGGAGTGTGAGGGGGAGGTGGGGAGGGGGTAGCATTTGGAGGGGTAGAGGCAGCTGAGCGGAGCCCCTCTATTTTGGTCTTGAGGAGGTCCAGCAGCGGGAAAGCTTATCAGTGGCAAGCTGTGCGGTTTTAGCTGGATAAGACTCGAGCAGTTACCCCAACGCACATTCTGGGGTCCCCAAGCCTTGGCTCTTGCCAACTTGTGCCTAATACTCTCCTGAATTAGGTAAGCAGGATGTGTCCTTCCAGGCAGAGAGTGCGCTTTCCATTCCAACAATCAATCCCTGGGATTTCCATGTGTCGATGGAATTCTCAGCTTGGTTTGGAGACTCTTAACCACGGTGATGGTTTTCAGCACGTGTCAGACACCCAACTGACCAAAAAAGGAACTATACTGCGCCCTTGATAATTCAGATTGACGTAACAGTTAGTAAATATTGTTCCAAATTTTGCACTTTTAAGATCCAAGGAGTCAAAGGCTGGTATTTTCAATTGATGTTATCTTGTCATCCTTTCCAGGAAAAAAAATGCCCATTATTAAGCAGTGCGAAAGGGGACATATGAGACGTATCCAAGCATAGCATAGATTTTCCAGACATCTCAAAGCACTTTAAGACGTGTAGAAGACGCGATAAGGTGTTATATGAAATGCAAGTATGACTATGATGATATTGTTATTTTTCTTTTATATCAGATTGTATATCAGTATTTTCCTAACAGTTCAAACTACAACTTCTATTGCTATTAAGCTAATTCTATATTTTCGAGTTGTTTAAAATCTCCTTTGGAGACTTGTGCTGTTTGTTACAAACAGAACCATTTGCCTGTTTCATTGATCCAATCACTGGTTTCATTCGGCTGACTGAATGTGCGATTCCAATTAAATCTTAAAAAACTTCGAAAATTACAAAACGTTTCATAATAAAATGCCAATTGTGTATGCAACCCAGCACACTGTAAGCATGTTGATCAGGCAATGGGTGAATGGGAGCGTGATGAATCAAGGTCTGATGTTGTATGAAAATGTTCTGAATCCTGAGTCTGTCTGAAATGCAATGCAAAGATTCATCTTTAGTACTCTTCACCGCTGATATTTCTGATCTGAGAGTCCACTAGAGAAGGTCACCAAAATAATTTGCCATATATATATATATATATCATTGCTTCCTGGAACATTTTATAGATACAAATTGCCAATCTGACCCTTTCCCCTTGTAAATTACAAGAACTAACTTTATAAAATAAACTTAAAAATCCAACAGTATCACGGCTGTGTGCTTATGTCTTGGCAGAGCTCTCTAGCGGCAAGAATAACATCTTTGAAACTAATATTTTAGCTCAAGGAATATATTTTAGTGGACCTTGGTGGAACATGGAATAACATTCCTCCACATCAAGGTTCTGTGGCTTACACCAACACTGCTTAAAAGATGTGGAAAGGTGTATTTAATCCTTCATGTTGTAACATTTGTCACTTCCGCTAACACTCTCCCACTTTATAGAGGTCCTATTGCAAACTTCAGTCAAGGCAGTTTTATAATGATTTTTGCAATTGACATAGCACCTTATCACATTGTTGAAATGTCTCAAAGCGCTCCACAGGATATACTATAAAGTGTAGTGATGCGTTTTGTAGCAGAGGTTTTGTTAGTGTGCGGTAAGAAGGGCCTGTGTTAAGGCTATTCCCAGTTTATTTCCTTACATTGCAAGACGATCTGAGATCTGCCACATTTCCAGTCAGACTGGGTTTTCAAACATTTAAGACAAACCAGGTGACAAATTCCAGGGGAGGCGAGTTAAATAGGTTAAGAAATAATTGGATGGAACTTTTTTACAATAACTCTAATTGACTGAGGTACAAGTTACCAGCGGAAGCCATTCAAGTCAACTGTATAAATGGGTTCAAGAGGCAAAGAGATGAGTGTCTAAGGGGAAAGGAATTGAGCGATATCACAGGATGATGGTTAAAAGAGATATAAATCGAAGAAAGGGCTTATTTGGTCTAACGACGTTTACAGTTCATAGGCCCCTATGCATTACGGAGTAGCTGTTGAGATAATTATTGCATTTGATACAGCTCCTTATCATCTTGTCGAGGCATTTCCAGGCGCTTCACAAGATTGCATTGAGGAGCGGAGTGTAGTGACTGTATTGTGGAGGTGAACCGAGCAGCGTCCTGCAACCAGTCGTTACGTCAATGACCAATTTTTTTCCAGGGTAGGTGGGTAACTTGCTCTTAAGGCCTTTATTGGTGCCACATCTTAAGACTGCAGACAACTGCAGCGTGGCTTGATGTACGGCCGCCCTCCCGCCCTCCCTCCCCCTCGCTGAGGTGGTGCCCTCTGGCTTTGGCAATCTCCAGGAAAGGGCCTGAGATTGGAAACAAAGGGCCATGTTGTTGTGTGTGTGTGTGTGTGTGTGTGGGGGGGGGAGAGGGAGGGAGGGAGGGAGAAGAGGGAAAGGAAACAAAAAAGACCTTAGGCAAACACAAACCATGCACCACAATGCTGACATGCCACACACACACACACACACACAATTCCCTTCTACAGCTCAAACTCTTCAGTGTCTTCCTCAACCATTGAAACCCGCTGCCTTTGCCCAAGCACTCGGTGCATTTCCCTGGTCAGATAATATTTCAGATCTAACTCCAGATAACTGCTAATTCGTGGAAATGCCAGGACTTGGGTTTCTTTCTGTGAGACAGCACAGGCTGATTGGAGGTGGGGAGGGAGGAGGAGGAGGAGGGGGGGAGGGGGGTTGAAGAGGGAAACATCTTGAAAAAAATAAAACCGAGTTCTCCTTTCGTGCTGCCCTTACGGCAAACAATTTAAAATGGAAGACACACACACACGTTTCCTGCACACTTGGCTTCCCCCTCTGTACTTGGTGCCTTCCACATGAATCATTGGGCCCGGACTGCTCTGCAAATGAGATCCACATTGAGCAACTGCCAATCAATCCTGAACCAGAAGTACTATTTCAAATACACACCATCCAATCACACTGGTGAATGAGATCAGAAACAGTTCCACCCCCCAATTCCACCCCCCCCCCCACCCCACCACCACCCCCCCCCACCCTTTCTGTCTCTCTCTCTCCCCCACAAAATCGTGAAGTCCTTTATGCAATTTCATGCCCAGTTCGATGCTTTCTCTCTGCAACAAAAAAAAAGCCATTGCAATGGTCACCATGTGAAGGAAGGAGCGCAAGGCGGGAGGGGGGTGGGAGGGAAGAGGGTGGAAAATGGGGAGGGGGGGGGGCAAAACGTCTCCTTTTTTTAAAAAACACCCAAGAAAAAGAGATCTATTGAGACGCTTCTGCTGAGCTGAAATGTGCTTTTTTGTGTGTGTGTGTGTGTGTGTCTCATTCCGTCAAACACAAAGAACATCCACCGGATGCTAATGTAACAAGGGATTATATAAAAAAAACTGCTCAGCTCCACCCCCACCCACACCACACCCCCCCCCGTCAGTTTTCAAACACGGATGCCTATATTTTAACATGTCTTACCAGGGTTTACCCTCCCAAATCCCCCCCCATCCACACCCCACCCCCCACCCCAGACCCCAATCCCTTTCAGACCCAGAATCTTAGAATCACTTAAAAAATAGGGGGTGGAAGTGCCTCTCCTATTTCCCCCAACGAGAGAAAAAAAATATTTGCAATGGAACATCAGAAAACGCTCAATTTTTTTTTCGAGGGGGGGGGGGGGGTGGGGGGTGGGGAAGAGCAGAGAGAGAAAAAAAAACAGAAGTGCGGAAAAAAATCCACGAGTTTAATCTGAAATAAATAAACGAACCTTCCAACTACCACCCTTCAAACCGATTTATTTTAGCTGCCGATTGGATTGCTAGCCAGCGATTCTGTATTTTTTTTTAAAAGACTTCTGACACTATAGATAAACCTCATTTAGTCCTCCAAAAAAATATATATGTAGATATAGATATATATAAAAAAAATGTATATTAAAAAAAAGGGAGTACAGAATTTTGCGAGCAAAATTTTTTTTAAAACCGGTCCGGGTCCTCGAGTCAGATTGCCCTATACCAAGTGAGACAAGAAGCGGAAAAAAAGGTAAATTCAATGTATTTTATTGTGAAAAAGTATACAATTACCCCTGATGGGCATTACCGGAATACGTTATGTAGCTTCACTGCCACTAAATGCGTACATATCAAATACTCCTGTCCTTCCCGCCCCCCTTACAAATGTCGCAGACGATTCAGGACCGCTGGCTCTCCCTCTCCCTCCCTCCCTCTCCCCCTCTCTCTCAGCAGCTGCCTGGGTACAGATCGAGACACATTCCCCCCCCACCCCCTCTCTCTCTCACTCTCTCTCTCCGCCCCCCCCCCCCTCCCCACCCCCACCCCTCTCTCCCGCCCTCACTTTTTTTTTAAACTAAACTCTCGCTCGGGACACTAAAACGCATATCCTCCAAAGTCTCTGCTTCTGCTCCTATTGCTCAGACCGTAATCTGCCCTGTAGGGTCCGGCTGCGTATTTCTCTGTGTTGCTCCTTCCCCTCATGGGGCCATAGCTGGACGCCTGTGGTGAGTAGCTGCCAAAGTTAAAGCTCTCCGGCAAATTTCCACCATCGTAGCCGTCTTCGCCATAGCTCCCGAAGCTATAGTCCCCGACCCGGTCGCCGTAGCCCCCCCTCTCCCCGTAGCCCCCTCTATCCCCGTAGCCCCGCTCGCCATAACTGCCCCGATCGTCGTAGCTGCCCCGGTCGCCATAACTTCCTCGGTCGCCGTAGCCCCGCTCGCCATAACTTGCCCGATCGCCGTAGGCTCGGTCGCCATAGCTCCCTCTATCCCCGTAGGCTCGGTCGCCGTAGGCTCTGTCGCCGTAGCTGCCCCCGGAGAAGGAGCGGTCCCGCCTCGGGTTCCCGCCGCTGCCGTAGCCGTAGACGTCCCCGCGGTTGCCGCCGTTGTAGTAACCGCCGTCGCCGCCATGTCGCGGGGAGTCGTCCATCCTCCCGCCATAGTTGCGGCCGTTCCTCTGGCTGAAGCTGCCGGCTCGGGCACGGGATCTGCCGCCGCCCCCCCCGCCGCCGCCGCCGCCGCCGCCCTGCATCTCCTCCTTGGACAGACCTTTCTTCACCTCACACCGGTAGCCATTGATCACGTGGTACTTCCGTATCACCGCCTTGTCCACCGAGTCGTGATCCTCAAAGTACACAAAGGCGAAGCCGCGTTTCTTGCCGGTGTCGCGGTCGCAGATCACATCCACTTTCTCAATCGTCCCGTAGTCCGAGAAGTAGATCTGCAAATCGTTCTCGTCGATCTTGTCTTTGATTCCGCCCACGAAGATCTTCTTCACCTTGAGGTTGAAGCCCGGTTTGTTGGAGTCTTCCCGGGGCACCGCTCGCTTCAGGTCCACGGTGCGGCCGTCCAGCACGTGAGGCCTAGCGGCCATGGCGGCGTCGGCCTCGCTGGGCGACGAGTAGGTGACGAAGCCGAAGCCGCGGGGCCGCTTGGTCAGGGTGTCCTGAACCACCACACAGTCGGTGAGCGACCCCCATTGCTCAAAATGGCTTCTCAGGCTGCCCTCGGCCGTCTCGAAGCTCAGGCCGCCGACGAATAGCTTACAGAGCTGCTCCCTCGCCATGTTGCCGCCGCTCTCACTCCGCACTGCAGGAGACTGACTGGCTGCTAATGAGGGGGGGCCACACGCCGCGCTCCCATTGGCCCGGCCCTGGCTGCCAGGCAACAGGCCCCGCCCCCTCCTCGCCTCCCACCCACCCCCGCGGGGGGGCTCCCGGCCTGGCGCATGCGCTCTCGCTCCTTTTGTCCTGTTCGGGCAGCGGCGGCAACAACAGCGGCGGATCAATGCTCAGCGCTCGCGGCCTCCAATCCCCCCCTCTCCCTCCCTCCCTCCCTCTCTCCTCTCCCCCCCTCTCCCTCTCTCCCCCCCTCCTCCCTCCCTCTCTCCTCTCCCCCCCTCTCCCCCCCTCCTCCCTCCCTCCTCTCTCCTCTCCCCCTCTCTCTTCCTCCCTCTCTCCTCTCCCCCCTCCTCTCTCCCCTCCCTCTTTCTCTCCCCTCCCTCTTCTCTCCCCTCCCTCTTTCTCTCCCCTCCCTCCCTCTTTCTCTCCCCTCCCTCCCTCCTTCTCTCCCCTCCCTCCCTCCCTCTTTCTCTCCCCTCCCTCCCTCCCTCTTTCTCTCCCCTCCCTCCCTCCCTCTTTCTCTCCCCTCCCTCCCTCCCTCTTTCTCTCCCCTCCCTCCCTCTTTCTCTCCCCTCTTTCTCTCCCTCTTTCTCTCCCCTCCCTCCCCCCCCTCCTTCTCTCCCCTCCCTCCCCCCCCCTCCTTCTCTCCCCTCCCTCCCTCTTTCTCTCCCCTCCCTCCCTCTTTCTCTCCCCTCCCTCCCTCCTTCTCTCCCCTCCCTCCCTCCTTCTCTCCCCTCCCTCCCTCCCTTCTCTCCCCTCCCCTCCCTCCCCTCTTTCTCTCCCCTCCCTCCCTCCTTCTCTCCCCTCCCTCCCTCTTTCTCTCCCCTCCCTCCCTCTTCTCTCCCCTCCCTCCCTCTTTCTCTCCCCTCCCCTCCCTCTTTCTCTCCCCTCCCTCCCTCCTTTCTCTCCCCTCCCTCCCTCCTTCTCTCCCCACTCCCTCCCTCCCTCCTTCTCTCCCCACGCCCTCCCTCCTTCTCTCCCCTCCCTCCCCCCCTCTTTCTCTCCCCTCCCTCCCCCCCTCTTTCTCTCCCCTCCCTCCCCCCCCTCTTTCTCTCCCCTCCCTCCCTCCCTCTTTCTCTCCCCTCCCTCCCTCCAGCACCACAGTTTGGCAATCCTCAAACGCGAGAGGTAGCGAGTCTGCCCCACGCAGATGGGTTATTGCAACACCCCCCCCCCCCCCCCACCGATAAAAAAAATATTAATTTTGACCGGTTTTTTAAAAAGCATATTACACACATATTATAACTCATTCAACAATGCAACGAAAATCACAGACAGACAGACAAGAGACACACACACAGAGAGAAGAGCTTGAGCACAAATGGATCTCCCTCCCTTTTTCCTCCCAACATGATTCTTTGTGTGAGCTTTCCTGTGATCGATTTCTTTTCTCCCTCTCCCTCTCTCTCTCTCACTGGGGCTTTTGTTGATTCCATGTTTTCTTTCCACTCTAATGTACACTTTTTTCCCCCCCCAATGTATGTATCTATATATATATATATATTTTTTGTTTAAAAAAATCTGATTTACAAGGAAGCTAATGACCAGATTGCATTTAATACGTTGCAAATCTGCGGCTGATGTGTGTGTGTGTGTGTATATAGGTGTGGATAAATATATAAATAAGTGTTTAGGGGGTGTGTGTGTGTGGGGGGGGGGGGAGGGTTGGAAATGAAATTGCTCCTGCAAACGTATTGTGCAATTGTATTTTTTTTGCCCCACCCAGGGCAGGGGGGGAAAAAAATATTCACCCGGTTAATACTGTAGGCAAATGTTTTGCTGTTGCTGCTGCTGGAAGGCGAGCAGAGCGGCATTGGGTTTCAGCAATGGTGGTGGTGGTGGTGATGAGCTGATTCTCTGTGCTGTGCAAAATCATTTAGTTTCTCAATTGCCTCTTTGCACTTTCCAGATACCGTTCCCTCCACAGAAAAGGTTACACAATCCCTGTGGGTGGGGGTGTGTGTGTGGGTGGGGGTGTGTGTGGGTGGGGGTGTGTGTGGGTGGGGGTGTGGGTGGGGGGGTGTGTGGGTGGGGGTGTGGGTGGGGGTGTGTGGGTGTGTGTGGGGGTGGGGGTGTGGGTGGGGGGGTGTGTGGGTGTGTGTGTGGGTGGGGGTGTGTGGGTGGGGGGGTGTGTGTGGGTGGGGGGGTGTGTGTGGGTGGGGGTGTGTGTGGGTGTGTGTGTGTGGGTGTAACAATCACACTGTAAATCAAACCTTTTTCACCCCCTTTCTCCCCCCCACCCCATTTTACACTTTTTTTAAAATTGATATCATTTACAAATAAAATAATATAGTGGCCTCATGTACACACACATATATATATATCTATATGTATATATCTGTGTGTGTAACCAGCCCTGAAGCACACGCTGTGACGCTGGAGGGAGGAAGCCGTGTGTGAATCTCGCCCCTGTATGGCCCGACCCGGTGTATCTCGGGTTAGTTGCAGCTCATGGCGATACGGTGTTGGCTCTTTGTACTGCTGTGGGTTTTGCAGGATCAGATCCCTGCGCTTTCCCTCTCTTCCCACCCCTCAAACAGACCCTCCTTTTCAGCTGCTCCCCCCCCCCTCTCCCCCCAAATCTGGCCCGAGCTGTTACTGTAAAATCCCATTCCTCATTTACCATCACATTCTGCGTCTGAGCTGTGTGTGTGTGTGTGTGTGTCTTGGAAAACTATTTTATCCTCTGACCTACCCCTTTGGGAAGCACTGGGGCTTTTCCCAAACTGTAATGTCAAATATTTCTATCTAAACAAAGTGCGAGCGCAAATAATTTGAGGACTGGTCAAAATCCCACCCCCCAATATATTAATGTGGCATTTAATCCAAAATAAAAAAAATTAATCCGGGAGTAGGATATCAGTTGAGTTCATTGTCATTCGAATCGATAATGCCATTACTTCACAAAGGCAAGGAATTTCTCCTGCAGAGGTGTGAGATGAGGTAACCCACCCCACCCATCTTTTGTTCCAGCTCAAAAAATATTCTCCTATATACCGAAAATCCCAAACAAATAGGTTCAATTGTTATTGGGGGGGGAAATCGCACTCCCATTAATTCTCAGATTTTTCCTATCTCGTGTGGAGACATCCTCTCTATCTTAAGGATCCCTAAGTTCTCATTTCAGCGTTTAATTAATTTGCCCATTCTGCTGGGCAGTAAAGTCATTCCACCCTTTCCCAAAAATGTGATATGAAGTCATTGGCATTTCACAACAGAAGGTGCTCACAGTAATAATCTTGTAATGGACACTGAGTCCAGAGGCAAGACGGATTCACTGCTGATTGTTCAGAGCATTTTGCCTGTTTTGCCAACATTATTAACCATAGGTTGGCTTAGCCACAGTCTGCCACTCGTTTTACAACAACAACAAGATTCCATTTATAGAGCGCCTTTCACGTCGGGAGGACGTCCCGAGGCGCTGGACAGTTGGGTCAGGACCCGAGCATTGGGGGGAAATGGTCAGGGTGAGGGAAGGGAGCGAGGAGGGGGTAGAGAGTCGAGAGGGGAGCTGAAGGCTCGGTCAAAGAGAAGTCACAAGTCAATTAAGGAAGTCCAACGATGCACCCGTTTGGCTAAACTCATGCCATGTAATGAGATCCTCAGCAGTTTTAGTGAACTCCTACAGATTACTAGGCTAAGATCAGGTGCACATTTGAGAACTTCAGGTTTCAGTCAAACATCATCTCTCAGCATGTCCATTAATCAATCAATAGGCTAGAAAATACTCTAGAAATATACTCTTTAAAAAGCCAGGAAATTTAGTCCATAAAAAACTAATTGGGGGGGACCTTCAGTTTTTAATGTCTTGACATTTGACAGCTCAAAGTGCTGGAATTTCCTTCAGTATTTATGGTCACCTATTTTTCTGGTTATGTGTCCAACCAAAAAAAAGCTATCAAATTGCACTATCCAGATGAGAGAGCAGTTTATCTGTAAGAGACACAATCATTTAATAAGATAGATATATTCCTTATAACTAGAGCTTTGCTTCAATAGCGTTCTCACAATGCAGCTGTGTGACAATTACCTGAGACAGATATTCCCTTATAAGGATGCAGGTCTTGAGATCAAGAGTCTGAATAAGAGACAGTAGCCTGAACACAACCTGAGAACTTCCAGATAAAATAAATTAAAGCCAGCAAACTCCTTAGCTTGTGCCTATTGCTAAGTCACCTTGAAATAGGCCCACACAAGAGAGGCCAAAGCTTAGTGCAAGTACAATGGAAGATGAACATACAAGCAAATCTAAATACAGCTGGGTGTGAGGAAAAAGAGAATACAGCAATAGTATTTGATATAGCGCCTTATCATGCTTCACAGAATATATTGTAAAGTGGATTGACTGTGAGCGAAACGCGACAGCCAATTGCGCACAGCAGTGTCCCACAAACGGTGGCAGATTGAGTAGACAGAGATGGATTATTACCCCCAGAAAGTGATCCGCCAATCGACTAACAATCGGGTTCCGACTTACTGTTCGGTAAACAGAGGCGTGTGGAATAAGGAAACTCGCCTAAGTTTTCGCATTTAGATAATCACGACTATAAAAAAATAAAGGCAATTATATGGATAAATAGATGGCTATAATGGTCTGAAGGAGGAACAAGATTTTTTTTAAAAAGTGTTAAGAAAAAAGATCAGGGAT